CTGAATTATTGCAATGTTAGCAGATATGTCTACTCTGTTTATATCTAATCACCTGAGATGAACTAAATAAGATTTCTTTTTTTTTTTCTGAAGGTCAAGGAAGTCTGCCAGCAGTGGACCTTCAAAAAAAAAATCTGTCCCCTCTGCTATCAACTGGCCTTAATTTTCTGCATTTAAATAATTCAGCTTAATATTACTTGTTCATATGTCCAAATACCTATGTGAAGGGGATGGCTAATGATATTACTCTTGATGTATAGTATTACAATACCACATATCATAGGTGTGGAAAATAGAACTTAAAAAGGCTGTCAAACAAGATGTTATTAAAAGAAAAAAAAGTTTAAAATTTGTTCGCTCTCTCTTCTGAAACACGCTGGAATGCAGTGTCTTTCCCCTGAAGCAGTGAACCATATTGCTCAGACCTCTTTACCAGCAAGGTTTTCTAGTCGTATGCACAGAAAGTCTCCAAATTAGTGGCCACTCCTGGAGATTTTGCCTCTCAGTTCCTCTGTAGGAGAACACTTGACAAAGACAGAAGAGGATGAACAGGTGAACCACCCTGAACACTTTGACACATCACTCTCCCCACTCAGAACTGGGCAGCTGTGCGTGTGTCAGATGCAGTATGAAAGCAGCATGCTGTATCAAACAGCCAGGCATAGCTTTGTGTGTCTTCAGACAGCAGAGAGCCCTTTCTGACCTATTCAGTGTAAAACATTGTTCCTGCACTCTATTTTTGAAATCCTTCCTCAAGCCTTTCAACATCCCCATTGTGTTCTCACAAAGAAATGTGTTTCCTTCCACAAAGTTTTGATACCCAGCACAAGAACACCCACCTATTCTCCGTTCTCATTTCTGCTGTGCTGCTGCAGCCTGCTGATTGCGGAGGGAGCATTTCACTTCCATTAGAGTTTAAGCAAAATGATAGACTGACAGCGTAGGGAATCCATTAGCTCTAAGCAGTCTAGTCACTGCTAATTAGTTCTTAGACTTCGGAAGCTGGGTCAAAATTCTGTATTTTTCAGCTGAAAGCCGTGACATTTAAACTTTGTCTTCTGCAGATCATTCATTCCCCAACCGCTGCTCAGGACTGTGGTAAGTGAACATCTTTTTTCAGTTTGTGCTCTGAACAGAACCAGAAGAAAAAGCCCTCATTAAACAGTTTGCTCTGCAGGAAAGTCGTTTATTTAGCACTTTGCTGGTGTGATGTGAAAAACACCTTGTGAAATTGAGGTGTGCCATGTTGTCTGAAAGAGCTATGAAGGAGACAGTGAGGCAGTGGAGAGTGTGTGGAAATAGGTGTTTAGTTCACAATGCGAGGGCTTCTCCAGAACCCTCACATTCTCAGAAAGGCTGAGTTTAGGAGGAATGCTTACTGAAAATGTGAGTCTTTCAAATGGAAATGGAAATTTCATGTCAAACTAGCTAGTCAACCAGAGTTTTGTGCTCAGCTAAAACAAAATCACAATGTTTGCATTATTTTAAGTTATTTTGCCCATGCCATTCAAGGACATTGTCTTTAAGAGCCTTGATACCACAGGCCCAGTGCTTCATGTTGCATTTCTGAGCCCACCAATGAGGACCCCGTGCTCTAGCCTGTACATAGCAGTTCCCAAACCCCAAGAGGGATGGAAGGAGTTGCAGCCCCTGCATACCCTTCCTCCTGAACTGCTGGCTTTATGGAAAGGATGGAGGCTCCCAGTTGAGGGCATCTAGAAGGGAGAGCCTTCCTGGTGCCCTCACTTTGAAGCAGATCCAAGAGCAGCATGCAGGAGGTCCTGTTTTACCAGAACCATATAGGGATATAGGCTGCTCCCTGCCTAAAACTCTGATTCCTCATAAAGTGCAAAGCAACTGCAGGGGGAGCAGAGGACAGAGGGTTGCATTTATCCCGTGCCTCTCTTTCTCCATAGGAAACCTCAAGGGAGGATTTCTGTGACAGGCTGGAAGTGTTTCACCTTATGCTGGCAATTCCCATGCAGCATGTAACAAACTACAAATGATTCCATGTGGTGAGATAAGAGAAGTTGTACTTAGCTGGCACTAATGCAAATAGAAGGATGCAATGCATTGAAATGATATTTAGAGTACTGAAATGAGAGGTTGAGTAGTCTTAGTATACAGACTCAGCATGAAACACTGTGCAGAGCTCTGGCACAGAAGAACAAGAGACACAAGACAGTAACTGTTTAGAGATCTGAAAAACTATTTAGAGTCAGATTTGCTCAAAATAATGAGGATAGCACGATGTTATATTTGATTTCCATTAAGTATAAAGATTGTTACTTGTTTAATTCAAGAGTAGTGATGGAAGAGTTTCAGTGAAATAGGAGCTCAAACCTGACTCGAATACCAAGCTATTGTGCAAGGGTTTCAGATCTGAAATCTTATAAGTTGATAAGTCTGTTGAAAGGTTTTAATGTATTCAAAGTCATCACAGTATTTTTGTTGTATTACTAAAATGTGATAAAAATGGTATCCATCAATCAGGTTTTTGTAATGAAAATGTTGTATAGCCATACTATATTTGTACATAACTATTTCTCTTGTACTCAGGTTAAAAAAATTTGTGGGAATAAAAAATTTAGGTTCTTATATCACAGGTTTCTCACCATGAGCATATTCTGTTCAGATTTACAAAACAGCCCATGTGCTGAAGTGTTTGAGTAGGTAGGTACCTCTACCTGTCTCAGTTTTAAGTTGAGAGTACCATATAAATAGCAGAATGAAAAAGATTGAGAGATAAGCATAAGATTATTCAGGTGACTTTTCTTTATGACTCATCTTTTATTAGAGTTAAAATGATCTGAAAGTAATTTAACATCATTTCATGAAAGGTTAATGTTATTTGTATTTTAGGGTAGCTGAACACAATACAGATTTTGCTAGAAATTCAAATCTAACTTCATTTTCTTTAATTGTTCTTCTAGAGCAATTTCCTGGGAGTCTATTAAGCCATAAGCAAGCGTTTATTGAACAGAGAATCCTGCATTAAGATAGGTCTAACACAATTCAATTTAAGAGGTTATTAATTACCTAATGTGTCAGCGTCCTTACAAAAAGAGTTTATTCATTTGTTCATTTGATCATTAGTATCAGAATTCAAAATGAAAGGTACCTCACAATTCAGAAACACAGATGATTTTCCTAGATCTGTATGGTCATATGTTAAATCCTGGTCACAGAGGTGTTTCCCTCCAGTGGACAACAAGATATTTCAATTGCCGTATTTTTCAGCCCCCTTCCAAACCCAACTGGGATCTGGGGATGTTTACAAAGGTGAGGAGCAGGAGTGGGGAAGAGAAGTCCTTTTGCACAGAGAGAACAGGATGCAGAGGTGTTGGGGATGGCCAGGGCTGGTGCTGCTGGGCTCAGGTGGTGTATGGCTGTGAGAGAGGGCACCTGTAGTGCAGCACAGCCTGCAGGGTCTGTAAGAGCAACGAGGATAGCCAAAAAATTCTGCCAGAGGAAATGCAGTAGGCTCTCCTGATGCTGGGGAATGGGATGAATGATAAAGCAATAGTAGGATAAGTATACATTGTGATGAGCTATTAGCTCTTACCAGTCAGGGATGATTCTGGGGTCACTAAGACCTTTAAGTGTCTGTTCTCCAAAAATATCAGCAGGAGAAAAAGAAAAAAAAAGAAAAAAAAACGTTAGACCAACTGTTAGAAACTATTAGAAAAGGAACAGAATGAAAAAGAACGTGTGCCCACATATGCTGTAGTAAGTCTTAAAAAAGTCAAAGCATAGTTAGATAAGAACAGAACAGCTTCCACTTGAGAAAATGACATTAAAAAGTCAAAATCAGAATTGGATATGTAAGAAGGTACTCCAGCCTGAAAGTGAGGCAGGTAAAAGATCTACTGTTCAAGTGTATCATACCATGAAGGGTAGGAATATGAATAGGGGAATATCATTCCTGTTCCTGATGTCAGAAGGAATAAGAGGTTGTAATGCATTTATTATCACAGAAGTTTGAAAGCATAAATAATCTTAAAAAGAGGTAAACGAAATTGATGGGATATAGATCTATTGATGGCTACTAAGTAGACTAGTCTCTTTGAACCCTCTGTCCCAGAAAGCCCCTGAGCTGCTGATTTTTAGGTGCTACCTGGGTTGGCCATGGAAATAACATTGTATGCCTGCTCTGCTGCCATACACTCTCTTCATAAATATCCAATGCTGTTTGGTATAGGAGAGTAGGTGACAATTTAAAATCTGTAAGTGAAGCACAGACACCTTCAGTAATACTGTACCGTATATATCCATATCTATTTTTATATCCAGCTCAAACATTTTTATATGTTTGTGTTTTGAATAGACATATTTGCTGTGTTGCCAAACTTAGAGATTTTTTTCTCACACATATTTCTTACATTGCTTTTTCTGATGTTTCTACCCACAGGTGATCTTGCTGTTGAAAGTATACTTAAAAACAAACAGGTAAACAAAACCAGAGATTATAATTTTTAGGTCAGCAGTTTGTGCAGAAAAGTCTTGTCATGTTTTACTTTGAAAAAGAGGGAGTAAACATTAAGGTGAAAACAGCATCAGTCAATTCCATTAAAAACAACAATAAAATCAATGGTTTTATGAGCCTCTCCAGTTAACACATGGGTTTAGCAGTATACTTCTTAAAAAAGAAACAGTGGTGAAAAGTTTTACCATATGCCTTGTAGACCAGAATTAAAATTTCAGATGTTTGCACATCTTAGAGAAACATTGTAGAAATCAGGTGTAGAAAGATAATTTTATTTTTTAGGCAAATTCTCTTGATATACATGTTTAGAATTCTGTAGCATGATATAGTCCAATACATACCGTGAGTATTTATAATGGAGGTAATAGATTAAACATCAGAGTTCCTTCCTTGCTTAATCAGTGTATGGGAGCTGTTGAGTCATGGCCTGAACCACTGATTGATCACCTGAGGATGACAGATGAAGGCAATTCAGCTGTATGACCAGAAGGGGTGGAGTCTGGCTGCACCTCTTCTAGACCCCATTTAAGGGCTGACTACCACTGGGGAAGAATCTTTTTCTGGAGATCCCTCCTCTATGGAATCTTTCCTGTGAACCTAGACATGTGGATGTAGGTGAGTATTCCTTCCCTGTTTGTTTCTTTTCACCACGGTAATCTTTTCAGCTGTAACACCAACTGTAATAATCACAAAAGCTCGGGAACTGCTTAACATTCCCTTGAAGAAATGAGAAGTTAAGCATAAGAATGTTATATATCCATATATCACTCATGTGCTTAGTAAACAAGATGTTACAGCTCATAGAGAGGAAAGAACACAGTGTAGCTGGAGAGTAGGGATGTCTGTGGCTTCTAAAGTATGGTGGTAAAGGGAGTGAAGATAGCCCCCAAAAAAAAAAAAAAAAAAAAAAAAAAATGCTGTGCAGAAATAAAATAAGTTGGGGAAGGTTATAAAAAGTGTCTGACAACTCTGAGTTATACCCCAACCTGGAATCTTCTGTCCAATTCTGTCCAAAAAAATGTTTTGGAATCTTCTGTCCAATAGTCTGCACACACTTCCAAATGAGGATGCAAAGAAATTACCTTCTATGCAAAAAGTCTAAAATATGTAATTTCTCATTAAAACTATCTTCTGCTATCACCTGTGATGACCTGTATAAGCCAACTCCCCAGTAAAATTTACTGCAAGTCCCTTAGGACTATGACATAATAGCCACCATCAAAACATGATGGAACCACTCTCACAACTGGGGTGCTTCCATGGATGGCTATAAGCTCTTCAGAAAGGATGGGCTGTGAAGTTTACATGCTAATTACAAATGCTGACAAGACGTGGTCTTTATCTGAAAACACATTCTTTGAGTTCTATTTGGCTCTTCTTTTATTCAAAGTCTTTGTCTTATCTGGAACCAGTTTTGGCACTCAACCTTCTGTATTCTGAAAAACCTTGAATTTCTGCAGCAGAACACTTGTGATCTCTTGTACATGACTAAACTATTAGGCAGTTATTAACTTCCAAATGAGAAAATGTTAAAACTTCAATGAGACTTTTTTTTTTTCCCCCATGGCAAGCTTGTATTTTGTATTCATATGCAGCCACCAACTGCTCTGGTATTTAAAAAATAAAAATAAAAATACAGTTGATGAATGTAGCTCATTACTGGCTCTGGCTCTCGATCAAAAGGAGAAACCCGGATGACTCACCAACTCAAAGTGAGAGTGAGCTTGGGGCAACTGAATCCAAATAATGAATTACTTTATCCCTTTTTCTTTTTTTTCTTTTTTTTCTTTTTTTTCTTTTTTTTCTTTTTTTTCTTTTTTTTCTTTTTTTTCTTTTTTTTCTTTTTTTTCTTTTTTTTCTTTTTTTTCTTTTTTTTCTTTTTTTTCTTTTTTTTCTTTTTTTCTTTTTTTCTTTTTTTCTTTTTTTCTTTTTTTCTTTTTTTCTTTTTTTCTTTTTTTCTTTTTTTCTTTTTTTCTTTTTTTCTTTTTTTCTTTTTTTCTTTTTTTTTCTTCTCTTCTTTTTTTCTTCTCTTCTTTTTTTCTTCTCTTCTTTTTTTCTTCTCTTCTTTTTTTCTTCTCTTCTTTTTTTCTTCTCTTCTTCTTTTCTTCTCTTCTTCTTTTCTTCTCTTCTTCTTTTCTTCTCTTCTTCTTTTCTTCTCTTCTTCTTTTCTTCTCTTCTTCTTTTCTTCTCTTCTTCTTTTCTTCTCTTCTTCTTTTCTTCTCTTCTTCTTTTCTTCTCTTCTTCTTTTCTTCTCTTCTTCTTTTCTTCTCTTCTTCTTTTCTTCTCTTCTTCTTTTCTTCTCTTCTTCTTTTCTTCTCTTCTTCTTTTCTTCTCTTCTTCTTTTCTTCTCTTCTTCTTTTCTTCTCTTCTTCTTTTCTTCTCTTCTTCTTTTCTTCTCTTCTTCTTTTCTTCTCTTCTTCTTTTCTTCTCTTCTTCTTTTCTTCTCTTCTTCTTTTCTTCTCTTCTTCTTTTCTTCTCTTCTTCTTTTCTTCTCTTCTTCTTTTCTTCTCTTCTTCTTTTCTTCTCTTCTTCTTTTCTTCTCTTCTTCTTTTCTTCTCTTCTTCTTTTCTTCTCTTCTTCTTTTCTTCTCTTCTTCTTTTCTTCTCTTCTTCTTTTCTTCTCTTCTTCTTTTCTTCTCTTCTTCTTTTCTTCTCTTCTTCTTTTCTTCTCTTCTTCTTTTCTTCTCTTCTTCTTTTCTTCTCTTCTTCTTTTCTTCTCTTCTTCTTTTCTTCTCTTCTTCTTTTCTTCTCTTCTTCTTTTCTTCTCTTCTTCTTTTCTTCTCTTCTTCTTTTCTTCTCTTCTTCTTTTCTTCTCTTCTTCTTTTCTTCTCTTCTTCTTTTCTTCTCTTCTTCTTTTCTTCTCTTCTTCTTTTCTTCTCTTCTTCTTTTCTTCTCTTCTTCTTTTCTTCAAAAAAAGTTACCTCTGTGCCTCATGGGAGGAGTCTATACTCTCTTGGAATTGGCAAATACATCAGAAATTAAAGGAATGCTGTCAGCATGAGGAACGGAATGCTTGTCAGATGTAAAAATCACAATTAAAAAGATTTCAAGAAATAGCACAACTACACTTTGGAAATGTCAGCACAACCATTAGAGCAGGAGAAATAACAGCGCAGTAGGATGATTTCAGCTCTGTCTGGATTAGTTGACTTATGCTCTTTAGCACCAGTAAAGAGGAGGAAACCTTTAATACGTCAGCAAATAGCTCTCGTGAGGAAAATAGGACAAGGTTCTATTCCATTGTTGTACTCAAATTCAAGCAATGAAATCTGCCAAGGCACAAAATGTCCTTTGCTAGGAACATCAGCATATTCTATACAAGTCTAAGACAAGTTGGAAGGGAGAATTTGGAGATGGTGTCAGTATGTTACTAACACTGTTCAGCTCTATGAATCATTACTAACAGATGTAGAGTAAGTGAAAACTTTTTTATAAGTTACCTCAGTGAAATTAAAGAACTTCTTCAATGGGAAGAATGGATTTGAATCCATGTGGCTAACACTGGGATGAGTTCCAAATGTGATAAACTACTTAAGAGCCAGTGTTTCCAAAATAAAGTAAATGAAAACCAATATTGAGAAAACTTTAATGGTAAATTAATCACATGCTTAGAGAAAATGTAAGTATGCTTTGATTGGGATTAACTGGTTAAATGTTACTCAAGGTCTTGTAGGACTCAAAACACATGTGAGTACTTGTGATCTGAACCAGTTCAAAATGAAGTAAAAATTAGTAACGTTGTACCAAGCTGTGTTTTTGTTAACAGAAACCAATGCCTGGGAAGCACAGGAAGCTTCATTTTGACTGTGACTCAAAAGGAAAGCATGTGGATTGAATTACCTGGTTGTCTTAGTACGTTATATGGAAATGCTTGAAATGCATTTGAAACAAGAATTCAGAAAGTAGTTTTACTGAATGTTATAGTTTTCTTCTGCATACTTTGTTTTATTTATCTATATATGATTGTCCTTACTCCTTAGAATATACCTGAAATGGAACTGTATGAATAGGGCTTATGCTGGAGAGAGCATTTGTTGGAGAATTGAAATGGATACAACTGCTAGCACTGCTATCTGGCTCACACAAAACATGCCCTCAACCTTCTCAGAGAGACACATGGTAGTTCCCTTTCAGAAATATATTGAAAACAAGCTATTTGAAGAGGTCTGTGTTTAAAAATAAAAGATAAAAAAGGGAGAAAGAGGTTAAAAGGCACCTTTTCAAAACTGCACTGCATTCATCTGCTTAATATGGGAAACCTACAAAGTACAGAAGAGGTCATTTCCCTATGGGTGTTGGAACTGATTCTTTTTAGAATATCCTTTTCTGTCAGTTATTTCTGGATCATCAGAATTTTCTAGTTTCTGTGAAGCTATAGGGCAAATTCTTCCCTGACCAATAGTACATGGAAACCTTTGATAATTCAATCATTATCAGTGCTTCATGTCCTCTATTCTTCCTCCACCTTTGTGGAATACAATACTACCTTTTCCATAATGTCTTTCCCATTGAAATAACTTTTGGTTGTCATGAAGGAAAAGAAAAGTCAATGAAAAGTTACTGGATGAGTCCTCACAAGCTACTTGGCAGTTTAAATAAATATTTCTATTTTAAGAATCAATCTGTGACAAGTATAGACCTCTTTCTGTCTGGAGTGTAGGTGGCAGTCTAGCTCCAGCAGTTCAGGATCTTGCACTGTGACCTCAGGTAGCATCACAGTTTTTTAAGCTACACCTAGAGCTGCTTTGTAAAGTGTTGTACCTTCTGTGTATGTGCTTACTTGTATGTTTTTTCTTGCTATAGATCTACTTTCAAACACAAAGAAGCAGTCCATTTCAGCAACACAAGGAACAATTCCTTGCAAAGGCCAGTAGTATCCTTGCTCTGAAGATTATAGTCATGACTGTGGGTAAAATGTCTGGTTATTCAGGTGATAGTGCCTCCTAATAAGCTTCAGATGGCTGCTTTTCTTCAATGGAACTAATAAAAACAAGCTCATGCTAGACTGCTGGTCTTTTACTTTCAGCCATCAGAAAGTGCCATAGGAAGGACTGAAAACTGTGAGAATTTTCAACATAGGAAATACTGTGGGCAAAGGACAAAGTAGAGTTGTTACTTCAAGACTTCAACTGGATATATGTTTTTAAGTAACAATCATTTAAAGAATGTTTCAAGGTCAGTGCACTTTCAAAATCCTTTCTCTCAATACTTCTTCTCTTCTAGAAGTATCTTCTTGCCAGTTTCACTCTCTTAGTCATTTTTATAGATTTTCTTAGAAGCTGGTGTTTATCTACATGCTGAGCACATTTTTGGATATGTACATTTTTGAAGATTTGATTTTCATGCCTTGAATCTTTATATTTAGCATGTTTTTATGTAACTGCTTTTTGAGGTTTTATAGTCAATTAAATTTAGATGTTCAGCTCTACCATTGTATTTTGAAAATGATAACACTATTTCCAGTCCTTTTTAAATGTTTGGATAAATCAAGGAAAAAGAAAGGGAAGTCTTTAACAGATGCTGATTTCCTAAGAATACTCAAAAGTAGTAAAGAATTCAGAAGTACAAGCCCTTTGATTTGGAATAGATTTTCTGTAATTCTCTCCATTTGGTGGTGTTTTTTCGTTTTGTTGGTTTTATGTTTGTTCTTGCTTGGAGGTGGGGTTGTTTTTCTTTTGGTCTTCTACTGTGTGATTATTTAATATTTAATTTTTAAAAAAAATATATATGGGAAAAGACATTTGTCAATGTAATGAAAACTTCAATGATTTATATGCCTGTGGTGTTAGAAGTATATGAAGTACCTAAACATTTGTCTATAGGCAGTCAGTGAAATAACTGTTGTACACAATGTGAGTACATAGACTACCTATTTAACCATTCATGCACAGTATTGTTTTAGTGATGCAGAACTCACTGGGGTAAGAGGTGTATTGCAACCCATCATGTGATAGAGCCTGAAAGTCTGTTCCTATTTGTCCTGGGATGATAGTACAGTAAGAGTAAAGTTGCCCTAGCTGTCAAGTGACTTCATTCCACAAAAAGAGGTCACTTGCTCAATATGGCCAAAAGTTAATATATTTGTGACTTTACCACTGATGTCCTTGGGCTTTGAATGGGAGTCACATTACAATTGTTTCTCCAGGAAGAAAGGAAGACATTAAGTGTTAATGCTTGGAGTATGACACAAGATTTATTAGCAATTTTCACAAAATATGCAATCTTTCTAATTTCCTTGTACACATGCAGAAGTGGTCCTCGTATACTTCATCAATATCATATGAATAAGTTCCAGTACCACTTCCAGCCTCAAAACTGTCCTATTGGCTATGGAATGTCCTTAAACATCACTGATAGTCACAGAATCAGCAAGACTGTTAGGTAGTAATTTCTCTCATTGTTCCCATGTGCTCTCCCCAGACTTGTAGCACAGCTTTGTGGAGAACTAATTCATCTTTGTGAATGCAAGTTTTAGCATCTTACTGTGGGGAAAATTGTTCTATATATATTGCTTTTATAAAAAATAGATTTGCTGATTATTCTACACTTGCACGTTTGAAAGCAAAAGCCAAGCATAATAATAGCCTTATCCAGGAGAAGGAAATGTGCACAAGAAAAAAAAATTTTTTTGTGATATGTTGCCTGATGTGCAAATAACAATTACTATCAGCATATGCAGCAAGTAGAAAAATCTAAATTATTTTCTTTATAAGTTTAACACTGTTTTTCCCCCCTCCCTTCTCCACTGGAAATGATTGCCTTTACCTTTAAACTGTATATTCCCCAGTATTCTTCTACAATATTTTTTTTCTTTACAATAAATCCTTGTCTGATGAGTGCTACATTGTTAACTTCTGGAAATTTTGGAGACAAAAAAAAAGTGAGAAATAATGCAGTGAGAAGGGACTCCACAGCACAAAAGGGAACATCACTGGACAGGATTGTTCTTCTGGCACTGATACAGCCTTATGGCACAGCACAGCAGTAAGAACTGAAGCTAAGATGTAACATTAAGGACCCAAGTATAGAAATCCTTAGCTAGATTTTTCCCCAATGTCCCTACTGATTAAAAACAGCCATGAGCTACATTTTTTCCCCATTCCCTATCATGTACTGTGGGTATGCCATTATTGCCATGACTTCGGGAGTATGATGCCAACTCTTCTGAATATGGCTATGTCTATATTAGCAAGTAGTAGAGTTCAACAGGAGAACAAAACAGTCAATGCTGTGGATATAGCACCTGCACTCCATGTGTTTGTGGAGCCAATGGGATGGCTTGGACCAGCCCTCACCTGGGCTGGCTGCCTCCAAACAAGAGGGATGCTCCTAGCATGTCTTTAAGCTGAGCATTAATCTGAAAGGAGCCAAGTTTGATTGCTTTGAGACACTTTCATAAGGCCATCCGTGGTGCAGGAAATAGTCATGACTGGCGGACTTGCTGCAAAAGTGCTTTCCCAGCATGATCCAAACATTAAAACACATACATCTTCTGCCATTTCCTACTCCAGCACCAATACAGAAGGTACATTTCCAAAAATATTCAACATATTGAATGATAAAATCATCTGAAGGTATGATTGGTTAGTACTGGCAGATAAGTGCTATAGAAATCTGTGCATCACCTGTTGGCTTAGACAGTCAGAAAAAAATTGAAGCATTGGTCATCTGAATATGAAGCCAGGAAAGCTTAAGAATATGGGCTGCAGTACTTCTGGGTCAGGTGATTCTTTGTGAAATGAGGTGATGTGGCTTGCAGATATTGGATCTTTGACTTTCATTGTGAACATTGTAAACTCTGGATCCAAGAGCAGAGCATGTTCTTCTCTATTCATGAAGTAAGCTTCAGAGCGTGAAGCTAATGGATGCCTATAAGTAAATCCTATGAACTGAAAGGTAGGCACTTAATTTTGAATATTTAATCAATAGTATATTCTTCTATCAAACATTAGTCTCTTTTTTTATTTTTTCTGGAGTGATTCTCTGTCTTATAAACAGCTTAAAGAATGCCAAGATAGGAATGCATTTAGTAAACAATTGAATTATGTTGCACTTACCAACACTAAACAGGAAGGATGAAGCAAACATTGCTTTTGCTTTTTGTAGGAGGCAAATCTGATGACAGCGGAGATTTCTCTGATAGAATAATATCTTTTTGAAAATCACGTACAAGGTTTTGTTTTCCAGCGTGGAGCAGAACAAAGCAACAGCAGACTGTTGCTTTGAGCACTGCTTGCAGCCTGCTATATGGTACTCTTGGTCCAAAATCTCTACATGGGTTTTGCTTTGCTTGGGTTCTTTCAGAGTGTTCCTTTCCTTTGTTTCTGTGGCTTTCTGTTTACTCTATGAAAATTGCACACTGATGTAGAGAACTCCTGTATTTACCTGATATCTATCCACACTGTGTATACTAACGTAAGTGCACTATACCATGCAAACTCTTGAGTGGCCTGGCATATGCGTTTATATTTAATGGTGACATGTGACTATGTTTTGATGTAAAGGTTGTTTCATAAAGGAATTTATCTTTCTGTTCACTAAAAGCTGAAAAACAAAATGAAATACACACACACACACACACACACACACACACACACACACAAAAAAAAAAAAAAAAAAAAACACAGTTATAAACATTTGCACTCACTTTGATATATATTTTTTTCCCAGTTGACAGTAAAAAACCTGAAATTTAGAAACTTCTGTGATCTCCGGTGTTCAAAAGGTAAATACATTGATGTGAAGGGCATTTATAGTTGGAAATAAACATAAGCACCAACCAAGGTGGTGAAAATATCAAAATGAAGTTGTTTGGGTAGAAAGTGAAAGTTAACTGCCACAGGCAGGGTTGCCAGCCACCAGACCATACTGCCCAAGGCCTTATCCAACCTGGCCTTAAACACCACCAGGAATGGGACACCACAACCTCTCTGGACACCCTAACAGTAAAATCTTCCCCCTAACATCTAATCTAAATTTCCCTTCCTTTAATTTAAAGACATTCCCCCTTGTCCTATCACTATTAGAACTGAGTATCACCATTAGGATATCCTAATTTTTTTCTTAGTTCTTGAGCTCACTCCACATTGTGTTTCAACAAAATCAGGGCATTTGAGATTTTATTTTATTTTTTAATCAGAACTTGGAGAAATGACTTAGCAGCACTTACTACAAGGGAAGCATTAGATGGTGCTTGGAGTCTAAGTTTCCACCTACTGCAATCCTACCATGTTACATGGTAATAAACACACCTTGCAAGTGGATATTCAGTTTTCAGTGCCAGAGGATTACTTTGATTATTTCATTTATGAAAAATGCTGTTATCTCGCTTAGCAAATGAACACGCTATCCTGAGGTTTGATCTACAAAATAACTAATACTTTGCCATGTATGTTAATACCTTTCATAATGAAACACTTCAACTGTTTTCTTTGTGCAGCCACCTTCACCCCTCATCAATTTGTGTTAAAATACCAAACTAATTTTAAAAACAGGAACTTTCATTTAGAAGTGCAACGTTAGAAATCTCCTGAGAATTCATATATCAGATGGCAAAGAACAAGCAAATAAAAGAAGCTGAAGTGTAGAAAAATACTTGCCCTTTAACACACTGTTTGCAATTCATAATTAAAAATGCCTCAAAATGAGAAAAGCAGTACTTGCATTGTGATAGGAGACTAGCTGCAAAAGTGCTCTCCCAGCGTGATCCAAACATTAAGGCGCATTCACCTTCTGCTGCTTCCTACTCCAGCACCAATACAGAAGGTACATTTCCAAAAATATTCAACGCCATAGAAGGGATTGTTTACCTCAAGTTAAAAGAAGGTGATTTGAGGGCAGAGAGCCTAGATAGGAAATTGCCCTGTGCATTTCTACACTATTTATAGAAAGGTTTGGTAAATTCATATTCCTGAAACCTTGCTGAAGATTATCTAAAGAGGAGTTAAATTACTGTTCTATGAAAGGTGGTTCAGAAAAGGAGAGTAAGATTCCCAAGCAAGTCAAGCTACATCTAAAAGGAGAGATGAGTAATGAGCTCCTCTGCTCTGGCTCCAACCTGACAGTCATTCTGTTGTAATACACCTGTGTTGTGAATTGGACTGGAAATACCAACTAAAATTATGTCATCTCGTAGCAGGAACTCTGAATATGGTCTTGTCTGCATTTGTCCATGAAGATACACTCTTAATTTCAGCAGAGTTCAGTAACAAGTCTGATAGGAGCTCTCAGGCAAATTCTGTTCTCTTTAGAACTTCTGCCTTTTGCATTATTTATTGCTAAGACAGCTAATGAACTTCCAACTTCTAGAGCCTTGTAGCTGCTTAGATTAAGTAATCAGAGGGCAATATTGGTATAGGTGAATGATTGGACTAGATGATCTTAGAGGTCTTTCCAAGCTTTATATTTTATAATTCTGCCAAGTAAAAGGTACGATTAATTTCTGTTCTTATTTCATAGCTATTTGTTCAAGGTTTATCAGCATTATATGAAATGAAGAATTTTGCCATTCCAGGTAAGGCTGGAGGTTGGTCAGAGACAGCTAAGTCCTGGGAAGTCACTTCTGTTTGTACCACCTGCAATTATAGTGACAGCCACCATTTGGAGTTGCTGGTCAACCTAGGCTGAGCATGAGCCAGCATTGTGCCCAGCCAGCCAAGAAAGCAAACTGCATTATGGGGTGTATTAAACATAGCATAGCCAGATGTGCTGATTCTCCCACTGTATTAACATTGGTGCAGCTTTGCCTTGAATACTACAGGCAGTTCTGTGCTCCAAGCAGTGAGACTCTGTGGGCTTTGCAGATCCCTTCCAAATGAACTATTCTATTCACCTCAAGTAAATAACCCTCAGTTTTCATAGCAGCAGCAGCCAGATTGGTTTTTCAGGTGCTAGAAAAATCAGTGTGGCTCTACTGTTTCACAGAGCATGCCCTAGGCAGACATTTCCTTTGTCTACACAGATAGCTACTTGTGCATAAATGAATATATGAGGTAAAGACCAACAATTTATCTGCCCCTGGACTTAAAGCCACACTGTTCTTCTTTCTGTCACGTTAACAGAAGAAGTCTAAATTCTGTCTGCATATGTCATATTTTGCTTTCAATATAGAAAATGTCTTTAAAGCTCCACAGTAGCATGATGAGATGCTATTATCAGTGATGTTGTTACCTACTAGTAAAGATACACAATAGCATTTATCCATTGCCTGGATACTGCCTTCAATGGCATGATTGTGGGTGATTAGGGACTTACGTTTTTTTTCGTAAGAGCTTTAAGCAGTACATATCACTAAGTACTACTGTATGTATAGTTAAGCTTTCTCTATTACTCTTCAATCCTCTTCTTAAGTTGTAACCCTAAATATTTTTGATCTAATACAGGAAGAGTAATCTGTATTTAAACTAAGTGGTGAGTGTTCAAAATGAAGCCACATAAATCTTGAAAGATAAACTCTTATGTAACAGTATTCAAGAAGGTAGTAGGACTGTGTACAGCTACCTCTGAAAGCCTGTAACTGATCATATGCACCAGCCACACCTGTACTACAGGTGAATGCCATGGAGTGCAAATACGGGGTTCAGAAAAATTTCTTGAGAACATTATTGATAAAATTATTACCAGTTGATGTAAAATGTTTTTTATTTTCCAAGTTGGACAGAAAAACTGCAAGAATAAGATTCTTGTTGTAGTGAAACGGAAGAGTAAAGTTCTGTAGATTCTATGGAATGGTGTTTTCTCTCTATTTTCTACTTCTATGCCTCTGTCAGCAGATCTTTTCAGTCCAGGCCAGGGTGTAGGCTCATGGGGGCAGAGATGTGGAGAGCTGGAGACCAGCCCTGTTGCAGCCTTGCTAGGCAGGGACTGACAGTTGTATTTTGTGTGGGTATAGATATATGCTGCAATACATGAGGATTTGATGTGATAAAGCTTTCAAAACTGTCCATCATGTGCGTTGCTAGCTAGAGGCGTTAACTTCTGATTTTGGTTTATCTACTCAAAACTGAGAGTAACAGAGATGCTTTATATAAGTAGAATTTCCCTTCTCAGCATCCCAGTTATGCATTTGTCCCAAAGCATTTTTCTGTTTTTTATTTAACTTTGCTTTAGCTGAGTTGAGAAGTGTCCAGTCAATTGGGATATGGGGAGATGATGACTGCAACTTGAGTTCCTCACTTTCAGCTCTCATTAGGCTGAAAAAAAGTGTTAGATCTCTGCTCTGGTGGGATGGCAGTTCAACAGAGGTTGTTTTCACCTATTGCTCTTTCCACCTCCTCAGGTTAAATAAACTGAAATAAAAGTAGATGCATACATCCAGCCTAAAGTTCTACATGTCTAGTTGATATATGTCAAAAACTGTAAAATGCATTTCTGAGCAATGCCAACATAAGGGCAAGGCAAGAAGGACTATTCACTTCTTCCTTTGGTGATTGCACCGCCTCTGCAGTAGTGGTTCAGCTGAAGCAAGAGAGCTGAGGCAGGGACTGTTGGCAGGTTGTGGAGGCTGTAAAGAGCAGGGACCACCAGAGAGAAGGGAGCAGGGCTGAGTTTGTTTCACACCGCTTGCTGTGTCTCGTACAAGCCTATGATCAAAACTGCAAATCAGGCAGATATCATCATAAATAGAGATTTCAAGTCAGTAGCCATCACTAAGGCAGATGCTTTCAAAGCAACCATGTGGCACTTTTGAAAATGTAAACCTAAAGTTCTTTTTGTATGTAATGGAGTCAAATCCAAATTTAAAGTAGGCATTTTTCCATTGGCTTCAAAAGGCTGTGAGTCATACAGATTCATTACTGTTAAAATGATTCTATCAAGAAATCAAGACTGTTAAAATGTCATGTTTCCAGTTATTTTCATAGATGATTCTCCTCTTCTTTAGATAATTTTTCTGTGTCTGTGTTAGATTTGTAGTGAGTTAGGAAATCATTAATGATCGAAATCAACAGAAGATGGAGTTTTATTCTGTGTCATAATTGCTCATTTAAAAATTCTTTTAAAGTTATTGAATTGGGTACTCTTTTTGTGAAATATTTCATGGTAACAACAGTGGCTGAAGATTTTGATTACTGAACATTTGATCTTTTAAAGAGATGTTACGCAAATCCTCCTAGAGTTACAAGGAATTCTTTCTTTTTATTCGTCTCAGGTAGCTTAAATAAGGCCACACAGTGAGCATTTTATTCTGTACAAAGTTGTGTTCAAAAGACAGCAAGTTTTGGACTGTATTTGCCTGAAACAGCAACATGACAATTCTAATCAAAACACTGATTTTAAAGGGTGAATCAGTACAATGTTGGTTTTCCTTTTACTATAGAGATTCACAATATCAGATTGAGAAGATGAAGAAAATTAACCCTGGTGACTAATGAGAGACATCCTCAAGCAAATTTAAATGTAGTGAGTAGTATGTGCTATGCAGAGACTAAGGAGAGATCATTCATGCTTCTTTTTTTATTCAGCTATAAAATCAC